GCAATTGACTATCTCTATTACTACTCTAATCCTACTTCTATTTATATTAGCTGCGACGCGTCCACCAATCTAACGTCGTGTCATGCAAAACCTTCACAAACTATTTTAGCTTCGTGATGCATAATCTGATGCATCGCGCCATACCACATGGCCTGCGCCAATCCCAACCCATCTACATATTTTTCTGCTAACACTATTAAGAATTATACAAAACATATAAAAAACTTTTTTAAGCTATTTAACAACTCAAGTGAAATCTCTACTGCAATAAAATTAGACTTCTTAAAACTATTTCAATTACCTTAAACAAGAATACAAGTGAATTCATCAGTAGCTTAAGAACCTTTTATAACTTTTATCTTCTCCTTATTACTTATTTTGTCAAAAAACCTGATTTTTCTGACAAATCAAAAGATCCTAATCTAGAAGTAGCTCATTCTTTTCCATTTATGGAATGATATAAGCTCACAGATTTCAAATACCATATGGACAAACTTAAAGAACATTATTATGTTTTGAACAAATTTTCAAATTCCTATTTTGATATTTTACTACTGAGGATATATTTTTTATCACCAAAAAATATCTTTTACCATCATTCAAAAACTTAACAATTAATCTTGTCAAACATTTTCCAGTAGATAATACAATAAAAGAATTCAAGAGTAAAGTAAAACTGCTTAGAGATAACAACTATGCAATAAAGCACCTCCTACTAGACTATATAAGAGTCAAATGTTCTCTTCCTTCAGCACACTGGTATTGAAAATAGCTCTATCCTTTTTCCAGTTACTATATAAAAAGAGGCAAATAAACTTATCAAAGATCTAAATCACAAATTCTATCTAAAACTTTTCTTAGAATCCAAATGAATCAAAGACAATCTTAATCAATTAGACAAATCCAAGTTTCCAAAAGATCTTGTCACAGTAGAGGTTGAGCAAAATATTTTCAAAGAACAATTCAATAAAGATGTATCTAATTTCAAATAAACTGTTACAAAAATCAAAAATAAATATATAGATAAAATTCATAGAAAATGGATTACTTCCCTTTTATTTGATCATTCAGGCTTAAAAGAAGTCAATAAAATTTTATTAAATCTTAAAGTCAACTTATCTCTTTTATTAAAAGACAATCTTTATCCAAATAATAATATAAAAACACTTAGCAAACACTTTTATTTTGAAAACTATCAACCAACTTTATAATTGAACCTGAGTTATCTGAATTAGTAATAACTCTTCTTTTCAATTTAATTTAAAAATGAATATTATCCAATTCAACTTACAACTTTTATTAAATATTTCTATAATTACAAGTTTTCACCTCCTGGTATTTTAAACATATCTCAACAATTACTAATACTTTCTCAATCTTCTTTGAATAACTATTTAGTGTCTAGCTTGTTTTTTATTTTTATCTCAAACATATTGCATTCTATTCAACCAATTACTTTTAATGTCATTAAACCAAACTTTTTTCTTATACCTGAAAAATCCAATTACAATTTTAATATTCAATATCAGAGGCCTGTCACAAAAAGGAAAATTGAAAAGGCTTATCAAAACAATTACAAATAAGAGAAGTATTCTCTGTTATTTCAAAACAAAAAATTTCACAAGCAATTCACTTTTTTAAAAAATAAATAATCTTATAATTATTTTAAGTATACTTTTAGAAAGTATAAGCAATAGTGTCTACATTATCACAACAAAGTCTATTAGCAATTATATCTTTGATATCTTTACTAAAAATTAATATTGGTGTACTATTTACCTGAAATTTAAATCAAAAGTTGTCATTGTTATCATATTATATTATTTACCTATAATAGAGACCCAAGGAAATAAGCAATCACTATTATCAAAAACTTTATCAAAAAGTATCAAGGCAAATATATCATTCTGGCAAAAGATTTTAACTTTTATCTTTATAACTTCCCTTTTATTAATACTTTTACTGCTCCATACAAAAGAACTATTTATAAATACTTTAACAAATTTACAGATATTGTTAAGATTATTGACAAGAACTATATATTCACTTATATAACAAATACAAGTACATTCATAATTAATCAAATTTAGATTATTGATAATCTGGCTAGCAAAACTTTAAGCTACAAAGTCTTTAACCAGTATATTATTTCTACAGACTACAAACAAGTCATGATTATTTTTTATTAGTTTGAATATAAACCAGACAAAATCTTATTCTTTATCAATATATATCAATTCAATAAAGCAAACAAAGAACAAATACAAGCAATACAAGAAAACATTGAGTTGGCTTGTCTTGCCAATCCAACCTAAACATGAAATAGTCTTAATGAAATTATTAAAAAAACCATGAATAACAACATTCTCCAAAGAAAACAACTTAATCTTAAATATCAAAAGAATCTTTTGAAACATTACAACACTGCAATTAAGTTAATCAAAACTGTAATTAAATTCTTAAAAAGTAAAAAAACTTCAAGCCCAAAGCTTTATTATATAGCATTAACTAAACACAACAAAGTAACCAATGCAAAACCAAGATATATTAAGAATAATAGTTTAGTTTTTATCAAACATCATATTAATAAACTAAAATACAAATATCTAAAATATTATTATAAAATAATTGCAAACAGTCCAAAACCATATTGTGAAGATATTATGTTTAGAGCAATAAAACCTGATAAAATATCAAAAATTAATGATTTTTATCCTAAAAAAGAAACAATAATTATATTTGAAGATTTATATATTGAATCTAAAAAAATACAAGATAAAATTGTTATATATTTTAATGAAAGGCAACATGCCAATATCAGTTCAATATATAATATATAATACAAAGATTTTTTGACTATCCTAAACTAATAAGAAAAAATTTTAATTATATTGTTCTCTTTAATAAAAATAGGACATATGATAAATTAGTTAATATTATCCAAAGATATACAAAAAAATGGCATAATATTGTTAATATACTTGATAAAAATTTAAAAGGTAGGGAATTTATTGTTATCGATTTAACTAGAGCAAAGAAGACTCTATATCTTTGCAAGGGATGGGACCGGCCTCTTGATTTTTCTATTTAACTAGAGTGATATTTTGGATTATCAAGTGTATTTTTTTTCCACCTTTTACAATTTTATCTTCTTTCTTCAACTTTAGATTGCTCTGTATAATTTCTCACATAAATTTATCAAAAGTTTTTTCATTATGTTCCAATAATCACTGGAATAAAATATCGACCTCTTTCCTAACCCAGTGATTGATATCTTTCTCAGAATTGCATTTATAAGTATTAGTATCTGAAGTTTGAATTTCTTGTTTAACCATGTCTATATGTGTCTTGACACTAGTTTTGCTATTATATATATGCGATAAATTTTTAAGTGGTTCTGTGATTTGGATTTGCTTTTTGCACTTCCGATTTAATCCTTTATAATGTATAATGCAGACATTAAAGGTAAAAAGAAACTTTGTGGACTTGAAAATTTTTTGACAGCAAAAGGTAAATGTTTAATTGCAGGCTGTAAAACTTTTAAATAATACAGTAAGTAAAAACGAAAGTCATCCTCAAATCATAGAGGTTCTAGGGTTTTTAATTCGCTGTTTCATTTTTTAAGTATTACTAACCACTAATTTGATACAAACGACTATCATCCACATCTGAGAACATTACAAGTTATAATTAGAATCATGGAGACAGCTCTACTTTAAAATTACGAACACCGTTATTTATTCACAAGACACCGAAACTGCGTTAAAGAAAATTAATGTTTATTTGCTCTCCATTATGTTTGATAACATCCATTTGAATTGCAAGAAGAAAAGCATACCCAGATAAATTCTCTATTCGTGTAATATAAGATTTAATCTACAAATAGCATTAAATAAGCATGGATTTTATGAAGAATTAAACATAAAAATATCGCTCTTTGATCCAAAAATACCTATGCCTTTCATTTCACGAAGAAATAATTCCAATATTTTTGAGAACTTCAATGGCCTTAGGGTGATTCCCAAGGGCAGCTGATTTCAAATACTTCTTGCCCAATTCTTCATCCTTTTGAAAACCTAATTTACCATTCAAGTATAAATCACCCAAGTGGTATCGGGCAATATCAGACCCATTATCAGCGGCTTTTATGAGGTATTCTAAAAATATTTCTCTATCAAATTTAACACCTGGTGTATTAAACAAAGAAAACGCATAACGTAATTGGGCATCAACAATCCCACAATCAGCTGCTTCTTTAAATAATTGACTGGCTTTAACGAGATCCTTGACCCCAGAAGGATATCCTTCGATCAAATAGTAACCCATCCAGTATTTTGCAGTTATGCTGTCAAGATAAGCATGATCCTGGAAGCATTTCCAGGCTGTAATATAATCTTTTTTCTTGTGAGCCTCAATACCTTCTTCAAGAGATAGTATTGAAGGTATTTCAAATTGAACAGGCGGTTGTCCGTCTAAATTTATTGTTCCTTCAGAGAGTAGAGATGGAGAAGAAGTATAATCCGTAGATAACTTATCAAGTTTCAAGAAAATTTCCGCAAGAGTGATTCTGGAATTTGCATCTTGTTGCCAGGCTTAGTGCATACAGAGTAAACAGATAAATTAGAAATTTTAATGGCTTAAAAGGAAAAAAATTCAAAAGAATAGAACTATATTACATGTAGTTATAATTTTTATAACCGCCTGTTGGAGTTTTTGGATATTAGGTGAACCGAAACCCAAAGAGATCTTTTCTCTCTTTCCCATTAATACATGCTCCATAATCTGCACCGTGTCCATATTTTCATAGGGGATTTTTTCAAATGCAAGTTCCCAAAGAAGCATACCAAAACTAATTTAAGAGGAATTACATTAGAATATGGGGAATTATTTTACAAAAACAAATTAATTCGGTTTACCTAAAAATTTCGCATTTATAAGTATAACGCATTGGATTCTTGTTGTTATGGCGCATCTTTTCAGGAGCCATCCAACGTACAACATCGGTTAAACACTTCGTCATGTTACTTGTTTGCATTGAATCAAAACGAACATATTTAAAATTTGATATTTTTGCTTCGAGTCGTGAAGTCATCTACGTAATTATATAGAGTATTTATTTTAGTAACAAATATGAATACACAACAATAATACTGATAAAATACTTATTCAACATTGTCTTACTAATATGTTTGCACATCTGATGTCGTGGTGAAGAATCTCACAAGAATGTAAAAATACAAGGCCACGGCAGATATCAAGAGCTATTTGAATTTTACTATGCCACGCAATGTCATATTTATTATAAACTTCTTGTAGTGTACCAAGTTCCGCCCATTCAAAAACCATGACTTGATGGCCTGAGATTTTCGAAAGACCATAAAATTTAATGATGTTGGGAGAATCTTTTGATTTTGATAATACTTGAATTTCTTGGCTCTCAGAAATGTCATCATCCATAATAGGTTTACAAGCGACCTCATTACCCCTAAATATTTTTTTAACAAGCGGCGGTTGCTTATCTCCTCGTGTGTCAGAGAGCTTTCCGACTAGAGGATCAAATAATTCCTTTAGATCTATCTGGGTTACCTTTATTTTTTTATCAAAGAAACTTTGTTCCTTTATTATTAATACTTCTTGCAGGATCTCGTTAATGTTTCGTGCACCACCTTCGACTCTTTCTAAAAGCTAGTAAATGTAAAATGTAAAGAATTAGTCAAAAAATTTTTTTAAATTTACAAGAAAAAAAACCTTACATTTGACATTTCTTCTAGGTCTGATTTAAGACCCTTTTGGTCGAATTTTTCTTGTTCATCAAATTTAGGAATGGAAAATTTCAGCTCGTTCATAACATTTTCAAATTCACTACTAAGTCTTTTGAACCTATCCTCAACCAAATTGTCAATCGTCAATTTTTTGAAATCCGAAAGAGTAGATAGGTTATTCATAAATTGACTGATTTCTTTCATGACATTAACAAAATGCACGAGAGCCGTATAATATTCTCCATTCCGAAAGTTTTGTTCATAGAATTTTTTTTTTATTTCCAGAGTTTTTAGAGCAAATTCTGCGGCCACGACGCGGTCCATAAGCGAAGTACAAATATTTTTGTTATATGTGACATTCTCATATATCCTGTTGGTTTCTTCAATTACGGTAGCCACATCCCTAATCAGAGGTTGAACCGCGTTTCCAGCATCCAAGTTTGAATTAATTTCGGACGTCACATTAACAACTCTTGAAGTTGTAGTCATTGATTGGCTGTCTATTATAGCATTAGAATCTAAATTTATCAAACAAAGAATAAGTGTTGAAACAAATTTAATGCGTAATACAGTGTTAATGTTTTTTACCAAGTAAGACGCTACTTGAGAAAATGTCCGATTCTATGATATTAGAAGGAACTTCCTTTTCAATACTATCATATACTTTTTCGATTGATATAGTTTTTAGTCTTTCGAGTATCTGAATAGCAGTGGGACGTCGATCAGGATGCGTATTCCAACATTCTGAATAAAGTTGCATGAAAGATATAGGTGTTCCAATAACCGGTTTTTCGCGCAAATCACTTGTTATTATATCGAGGGCAACTAAGGCATATTCTTTTTTATGAAATGGATCGCAGCAGCTCGAGAGTTCCCAAAAAAGAACACCAATACTATAAATGTCTGATTTTTCATCTAACTTGTGATGACGATTCTTTAATTTCTGAGGATCAATAAAAGGCACAACTCCAATTATGTTGCCGTCAGTTTTCTTCATGCTAGTGAGACTTCTTGATAATCCAAAATCGGCGATTTTAATATTCTCATGGTGCACCAGAATGTTTTTAGTGTGCTAAAACATTTTGTAATAATTATTATTACCATAGTGTCCATACTAGAAACATATTCGTAAAAAAATTTAAACGCTTAAATAATTATTACCAAGTCACGGTGGGAAATTTTTAGTTCATTATGAAGATAAGATATTCCTTCAGTTATTTGAGTCGCAAACTTGATTCTGTCGGCCCATTGAATGACCATTCTTTTCTTAAACAAGTGTTCTCTCAGATTTCCTCCATCAGCAAGTTCCAATACAAGATAGTAAAGACCCTCGTCTTCGTCTGCAGTAAACCAAAAGTTATTATTTAATAAATTTATCACTACATTAGATTGATTATCTAATTCTTACCATGACTTATTCCATAAAATTTAATAATTCTTGGGTGATTGGCATTACTAATTAATTTTACCTGATAAATATACAGAATATTTCAAAATCGCATTTTCTGAAGGTTCGAACATGTATTCACTAGGTTTTTAATTCAAATATTCTTACCTCATTAATGAAATTGTTAATACAAGCATTATCGTCTTCCACGTCTACATAAACTCCTTTTAATGCCACCATTTTTGGTTCTGAACTCTTGTTCCACACGTATTTGAAGATAGTCCCAAACCCTCCTCCTCCAATCCTTTTTCGGTCACTGAATTCATCAAAAGGTATTTCATTTAACTTGTATTCATTGATCGAAGTTTGATACCAGTCTTCAACGGTATCCATAATGAATGAGTACAAATTCTCATAATTACAGTATTGATTAACGTTAAAAATAGATTTGTCATAAATTTTAAAGTTTAAAAATACAAATTTTTCTAACGTATACAGTATACTGTATTTATTTGACAACAACTAGTTCACGTTACTCAACTGATTTTTGCTTATAGGCTGATCCTAGTATAAAAGACACATAAAAAAACATTACGTGACACATCATTTTATCTGGAATTTGATATTCTTCCTAACCTGTAATGCTACGTATTTGATATTTTCCGAACTTAAATTTGAAATCGATGGTGCAGTAAACGTTTTTATTCGTTGGATATACACGTATGTCATCCTTTGAACTTCGTCTCCATCAATACAAAAAAAAATATAGATTTTTGTTTTCTTTCTGAGTGCATTCTTGGAAACTTCCTTTGGGAGCTGATCTCGAACCTCATCGTTGACCTTTTTCTGAGCCTCATATTCTTTCATAGGTTGTTTATAATCAAAAAGGCATTTTTCCAGTTCCTTTCCAAAAAAGTAATATGCCCTTAAGACTTTATGACATGCATTATCGCTATGCTTCTCAGCCTTGGATATTTTTAAATATAAATCGAAAAAAACCCAGGAATCCTCAACTTCTCATACAGATTCTTTGTGAAGACCTTTGTTTTTCCTAATTTCAGAAATTTGAGTGGTATCGGAAGATAATTCCCAGATAAGCCTTTTTAACACAATCGAGTTTTCATCTTTAATCACTTTTCATAACTTTTTTATTGGAGGAATTTTTAGTTAATACATTCATAGCTTCATTGGTCCTCTATTTACCTGTCGAATCAGATTGAGTTTCAACTTGAGATTCCTTTTCCTTCTCTTCTTTCCCATCCTTATCTCTATCACCCATATTCACAACTTGATTCAGGAATGAAGTTTTTTGAGAACTAAATTCAACATTACAAGTAAATTCATCAGTCAGATTCGAAGTATCACTTATTTCAGAAGATACAGAGTCTCATCATTGGGCTTCATCAATAAGCTCGATATTTTTTCCATACTTAGGAAAGGGACATGTATTTGATATGGTAAGCAGAATTTTTTTCTCAATACACATTCTGTGAAATATTTGCCCATAACCACTAGTCAAACTGAGGTAGGCAAAATTCCCCAGAAAAACCAGAAAAAAGGAAGAACATTAAATGATTCATATGTAAGTGTTAAAATTTTCTTGTTACATATTGAGCATGGTGGCAGTTCTGTATGATTAATATTTTGATCAATACTTCCACTCATTTCTTTTAGAATGTTATATACAAGGGTTTTAAGACCGGAGAGAGACATAATAATTAAGAATGTAATTGAGTAACAAGATTTCTACCTGTTTTTATCTACTTTGGTCAATATCTTAGACTAGTGATTCTAACTAGTTAACTATTGGTCGGTTAATTGTTAGTTAACTGATTAGTTGGTTAGTTATGGTTAACCGAATATAATAAAAATTATTTCTAATTTGTATACATATCATAAAAATAATAATGTATAATTATTAGTAAAACCAACGCCAGATTTCTTAAAATTGGGCGTTACTTTTACTATGACTATATAGTACATATATAACATAATAGCAAAATTTTTAGTGTTATGATAACAATGGCATTAAATATTATAATAACACAGATATTGAAATCAACTGTCTTTAAAAAAAACAAATGAGTGGTAAAAACAAAAGAAAACATTCTTTTACGGATCATTTGAATTTTTATTCATATGATCCACTTACTGAAACTTTTGAACCACAATATATTGAAACTATTTCTCCTTTGATTTCTTCTTTTCCCTCTTCAATTGATACTGCATTTTTAAACAAACGACATGAAATTCGTGAAAATAATTTTGATGAAAATAGTTTATTATCCGTATCAATAAAAAAAAACCTAAAAAAGATACAAGTTGGGTATGGAAATGGTTTAATAGAGATGAAAACAAATGGATCGGAGAATGCAAAATTACAGGATGCAAAACAAGCCTTTCTTTAAATACATCTATTACTTCATACGCCTATCATCTTGCTCGTACTCACCTTATAACAAAATACACATCCGTTAATCAAGAAAAAACAAATCAACCTATTGAAGAAACTATACCTAAGCAATTTTCAAGAGATGAACAAGAATTATCCAACTTTTGTCTTTTAGAATTTATATTAGATGATTTACAACCATTTAATATATTAAAGAACAAAAAGTTTCAACTTTTTTGTAATTCGATATGCCCTAGTTATCAAGTACCTTGTGATAATACAATCAAAATTATGATTGCACAAAGTGTTGAATTTTCTCGTAAAACTTTAGCTAATTTATTAAGAACAATAACAAAAATTAGTTTTACAACTGATTTATGAACTGGATTTCATAAATCATATATTGGTGTAACTATCCACTAGATAAATGCTAATTTCGAACTTCAACAAGCTTTACTTACAATTGAAGAAATTCCGTACGACCATACTGGTGTTAATATAGCTATTAAATTACAACATATTTTTGATCGCTGGAATATTAATCTACAAGAAAAAATTATTGCTGGTGTAAGCGATAATGATCCAAAAATAATTAAAGCTTTTCGAGAATTAGGAATTAAAAATTTACCTTGTTGTACACATACTATTCATTTAGCTATTTCAGATGGATTAAAAATTATTACTAGTCAAGAATTACTCAAAAAAGCCAAAGCACTGTGACGGGCAAACGGCGAGTCTGTTGCTAATGCCAACAGGGGTTCGTGTAACCGTCACTCGTGTTTCTTTAATTAAAATAGGTGATTTGAGGCGCACGATTCAGCCGAGTCCTTCTCACTTCTTGTACACACGCTCCCCTTTATTAACAACATTTTCTCACTCATTTATAATGTTAAATTGTGAAAAAAATAATAAGACAATATCAAGTT